AGCCTGTTTGACCTTTAAAATGGGTCGTTATGGCCTTGAGGGTCGACTGGATGCATAGACAAGGTCATGAAAGACGTCTACAAATTGTTTTGGCATTTTTGACGTCGCAATCCGGATCACCCAAAAAATATTTAGCTATAGCTCACAAAAATCATCGAAATGGGGGGGGGGGGTATGCACGCTTCAGGGCTCGTTAGACCTTGAAAATGGATCAAAATGTCTCTGAGGGCCAACCGTTGCATATCCAAGGTCATGAATGAAGCCCACAATTTTTTTTGGCATTTTTGACGTCGCAATCCGGATCACCAAAAAAATATTTAGCTATAGCACACGAAAATCGTCGAAATGGGGGGTATGCGCGCTTCGGGGCTCGTTAGACCTTGAAAATAGGTCGGAATGGCCGTGAGGGCAACCCGGATGCATAGCTAAGGTCTTGACGGACTTTCAAAAATTTTTTTGGCATTTTTGACGTTGAAATTTGGATCACCCAAAAAATTATTTGATATAGCACACGAAAATCGTCGAATGGGGGGTATGCGCGCTTCAGGACTCGTTAATGGGTCGCAATTGTTGTGAGGGACAATTGAAATTATAGCCAAGGTCTTTACGGACGTCCATAAAATTTTTTGGCATTTTTGACATCGCAATCTGGATCACCCAAAAAATGGTTAGCTATAGTACACGAAAATCATTGAAATGGGGGTATACGCGCTTCTGGGCTCATTTGACCTTCAAAATGGGTCGGAATGGCCGTGAGGTCCAATTAGATGCATAGCAAAGGTCATGAAGGACGTCCATAGAAAAGTTTTGCATTTTTAACGTCGCAATCCAGATCACCTTCGGGGCTCGTTTGACCTTTAAAATGGATCGGAATGACAGTGAGGGCCTACCAGATGCATAGACAAGGTCTTGAAGGACGTCCACAAAATTTTTAGTATTTTTGACGTCGAAATTCGGATCACCCAAAAAATGGTTTTCTATAGCTCACGAAAATCGTTGAAATGGGGATATGCGCGCTTCGGGACTCGTTTGACCTTGAAAATGCGTCGAAATTCCAATGAGGGACAACTGGATGCTAAGCCAAGGTCTTGAAGGACTTCCACAAAATTTCTTGGCATTCTTCGTAGGAATTCGGATAACCCGAAAAATGGTTTGCTATAGCACGCAAAAATCATCGAAATGGAGGGTATGCGCACTTTGTGGCTCGTTTAACCTTAAAAATGGGTCGGAATTGCCTTGAAAGACAATCGTATGAATAGACAAGGTCTTGAAAAATGCCCACAAAAATATTTGGCATTTTTGAGATCGCTATCTGGATCACCCAAAAATGGTTAGCTATAGTACACGAAAATCATTGAAATGGGGGGTATGCGCGCTTCGGGGCTCGTTTGACCTTTATAATGGGTCGGAATGGCCGTGAGGTACAATCGGATGCATAGCCAAGGTCTTGAAGGACATCCACAAAATATTTTTGCATTTTTGACGTAGGAATCTGAATAACCCAAAAAATGGTTTGCTATAGGACACGAAAATCATTGAAATGGGGGTATGCGCGCTTCAGGGCTCGTTTGACCTTAAAAATGGGTCAAAATTGCCGTGAGGGACAACCGTATGCATAGAAAAGGTCTTGAGAAATGTCCACAAAAATTTTTGGCTTTTTTGACGTCAGAATCCGGATCAACCACAAAATGGTTTGTTATAGCACACGAAAAATATCGAAATGGGGGGTATGCGCGCTTTAGGAATTGTTTTACCTTTAAAATGGGTCGGAATGGTTGTGAGGGCCAACCGGATAAATAGCCAAGGTTTTGACGGACTTTCACAAAAAATTTTGACGTCGAAATCCGAATCACCCAAAAAATGATTTGCTATAGCACACGAAAATCGTCGAAATAGAGGGTATGCGCGCTTGGGGGAGCTTGTTTGACCTTGAAAATGGGTCGCAATTGCCGTGAGGGCCAACCGGAATCATAAATAAGGTGTTGATGGACGTCCACAAAATATTTTAGCATTTTGAAGTTGAAATCCAAATCACCCAAAAAATGGTTTGTTATAGCACACGATAATCTTTGAAATGAGGGGTATGCGCGCTTCGAGGCTCGTTTAACCTTGAAAATTGGTCGAAATGGCCGTGAGGGACAACCGGATTCATAGCCAATGTCTTGAAGGTTGTTCACAAAATTTTTTGGCATTTTTAACGTTTGGAATTCGGATCACCCAAAAAATGGTTTGCTATAGCACACGAAAATCATTGAAATGGGGGGTATGCGCGCTTCGAGGCTCGTTTGACTTTGAAAATAGGTTGGAATGGCCGTGAGGGACAACCGGATGCATATCCAAGGTCTTGACGGATGTCCACAAAATTTTTTGGCATTTTTGATGTCGCGATCACCCAAAAAATAGTTTTCTATAGCACACAAAAATCATCGAAATGGAGGGTATGCAGGCTTCGGGGCTCGTTTGACCTTGAAAATGGGTCGAAATGACCGTGAGGTCCAACCGGATGCATAGACAAGTCATGATGGACTTCCACGAAAATTTTTGGCATGTTTGACGGTGGAATGGATCACCCAAAAAATGATTTGCTATAGCACACGAAAATCGTTGAAATTGAGGGTATGCGCACTTCAGGGAGCTTGTTTGACCTTGAAAATGGGTCGCAATTGATGCGAGGGCCAATAGGAATCATAAACAAGGTGTTGATGGACGTCCACAAAATATTTTTGCATTTTTGAAGTTGAAATCCAGATCACCCAAAAAATGGTTTACTATGGCACACGATAATCTTCGAAATGTGGGGTATGCGCGCTTCGGGGCTCGTTTGACCTTTAAAATGGATCTGAATGCATAGCAAATGTCTTGAAGTACGTCCAAAAAAATGTTTGGTATTTTTGACATCGCAATCGGGATTACCCAAAAAATGGTTTGCTATAGCACACGAAAATCATCGAAATTGAGGGTATACGCGCTTCGGAGCTCGTTTGACCTTGAAAATGGGTCGCAATTGCCGTGAGGGCCAACCAGAATCATACACAAGGTCTTGACACACGTGCACAAAAAGTTTTTCCATTTTTGACATCGCAGTCCAGATCACTCAATAAATGGTTATGCGTGCTTCGGGGCTCGTTTGACCTTGAAAATGTGTCGCAATATACTGCATGGAAGAAAATCAAACTAAATATGTCCAATTAGAACAATTTACTTGCAATAGCTTGTCTGAACTTGAACTTGCCTTATTTTAAGACAGATGCTTCAGCTGCTCTGAGCCTCCAACACGGGTCTGATTTTTTGCAGATTTCTGTTTTCAAACTGCTTCGCCATTTGTTCCTCTTGAATTTTGCTGCAAGTATCACTGAGCTGACGCTCAATCATCTAGGAAGGAAAAAACAGAAGAGATCCTGAGATATTTCTCTTCAGTGTACAAGTCTTTTATGAAGGATTTTCTATAAAAATCAACACACTTACTCATTTTCCAGTTATTTTCTTTCGCTAATAGGAAAGTAAGAAACTTCTATTAGCGTAAGATGTTGAGTTGAGTTGAGTTGATTGTGTCATGTGCAACATCAATAGATGATGGTTCATTGTTGTCCAATGATTTATATTTTTCTATGAGTCAATGTTGGCTTGCCCCTTTGTTCTTATTAGATAATAGGTTTGGAACTCCCATTCTGCTAGAAATCCCTTTGAAGAATTGATAAAGGAAGCAAATTACAAACAGACGCATGAATTTCAAGTTCATTCTGGGAGATGCTTATATATATATATCAACTCTCCACAAAAAATTCTAATGGAGCGACGGGATGTATTTTGTGACATATTCATCGTTAACCATCCAGCATGCCCAAGAATCCTATGATGAGTTGTTACCTAAACTTTTCTAGTTAAAATCACTTTTGCAAGGCAATTGTAATTTGTAGGCACATTCTTTAATTTCTCAAGCTACACGAACCAGGGAAAATGTGGTACCTTATATCCCTTTTGTAATGCAATCCTTTGCTCTTGATTTTGCAAGATAAACAAATATCATATGATGCAATCATCTGGTCTAATATTATAGAATCTAATTAGCATCTTCCTTCTGATGCCACATTTTTGTACTATATTCCATTTGATGCCGTCCTCTAGTCTTGACTTTGTGTCAATAGGGATTAACATCCAACAAAATATCTACGTCAAAGCTATGAGATGAATCAAACCATGTTTATTTAGTTTCCTATTAGATCAAGTGTTCATGTGATATAGGGGAAACCTGAATCAAATTTTTTGGCCGAGAGAATGCTCTTGAGAAATGCCAACTTATGATACCTGCGGCTGAAATGACATCAGATCAACAATCCTTTGAAATGAATACGTTGACTCACATAGTGCCATGGTGCCACCAAACAACACATGCCCAATATCAACCAACATTTCCTAGTGATAAAAGTGGAAACACATTGTCTTGCTTCTAGTACAATGAGGACAGGAAATCAAAGAGAAGTCTGCAAAATATCAGAATTGAAGCATCAACTATTGTGATATTAAGCAAAATATATGATGGAGTATCATACATGAACTTAGAAACTTACTATCTGCATCTATTTCTTAACAAAGCACAATGTGATACTTAGTCAATGGTTTTAGAAAAGATTGAACATGCGCTCCTTTTTGCTAACTTTTCATGATTCTTTTACAGTCAGTAACAAAGTTCTTGTATTATGAGACACTGTACAAAAAGGCTATAATCACATTGTACTACACTATACTTGCATCAAATTCTAATTTTACGAGTGTGACCAAGTATTGTTTTTTTTTTTTTCTGAAACTGGTAATGTTGAATTCCTCAGCATTAAGGATAAGCTGGAGACCTTCAAAAGGGGGAACAGAACAAACAAACAAAAAAAGAGAGAAAGGGAGAAACTACTTATAGAGAGCCTAACAGATCTACAAGCTCTAATTCCTCTATAAGCATACTCCTTATTAGATATCATCTATGCTCCAAAGCACCATACGAATTGCTTTCACTTACTAGATATCATCTCTTTGACATATGTAGCTTTCCTTTCCTTTTTCTTTTCAGTATCATCTATTGTAGCTTTCTGCAAGTCAGCATCTTTCCCAATCTGAAGATATTAAGAATAAGTTGCAGCACTGCTATTCCATACTTTGTTCGAAGTGATTATACAAGTGCGAGAAAAATGAGACGCTAAACAAAGAACAGGATAGTCCAATATCAAAAGAGAGGATATGTCGGCATCAGTTTTTTTACAGAATTTCTTTATCATAAAGAATCATAAGTAGATATAGAAAAAACCAATAGTATCAATTCCGAACTAGTTCGGGTTGATTATATGAGTCTCTCCCAAATATGTTGACGACTGTTTAACAAATGCAAGTAGCAACCTAGGCAGGTCTTTGGTGAATGAATAAGTTTTTACCATACATTTACACATTTATCATAGTGAAATGACTAACCACCTTATCAGATAACACTACAACATAACTTTTCAAATAACTATAGGGTTGTTAAAGGCTCACTTAAAGCGCTCATAAGCCATGAAGCTCAACGAAACCTAGCTCGTGCATTTCACCTCGCTTGGTTGGTGCTTTAGTGTAGGCATCAAGGTGTTAAGGTGTCTGATCATTTTAATAGGCTCTGCCTTAAAGGGGCACAACGTCATATGTATAGCTTAATTATACTTTTTCCATCCTTTTGTCCACCGATTTATAGTTTGTATTTGTAATTACATTCTCTTGGCGTTTTTCTTTGCTAAGTCCAATGCTTTAGTTTTGCTTTGCGTTTATAGCTACAATAGGATTTGGGGCTTCTTTGCGGTTTTCATTAACTACTCTAATAACTATTATGAAACTATTATCTTTTTTCACATTGATGTTCATGTAAAGATTCATTCACACCCCGACTATTTCACTATGCACCAACTACCTCCCACCAAATCTGTTTACCAAAACTCAGCCAAATGGGAAGAAATTACCTTAGCATTTTTTGTCTCTACTTTTTTTCACCCACTTCATTGGCCACTAAGGCAACACCCTAGGGTGTAGAAATTATGAAAGCACATCATTGCTTGATTTTCATATTATAGATCTAAGCTCGACCATTGATTAATATTCTTTCTTCATGCAAATATTATAATTTAGTAACTCAGTCCCTTGAGAAACAGTAGTAGCTTTATTTATTTTAGATGTCATAAAATATCAATAGACACAGTTAGTAAGAGCACTTTATCTTCCCAAATTTCTACCATTGTGGTCTCAATCGCACTAATCACAACAACCGTCCTTATCAAAACCTAATCACAACTAAAGTCATCTAAATACCTTTCTTTTCTTTTACTCTCAGACTAATACTAATAGTAATATTTCTTATAGGATGCTGTAAAAAAATAATCAATAAAGCATGATTAGGCAACTATGAAGACAAAGCCTTGGCAAATCCAAAATTCAAAATCTACAGGTGCCTTACAAGGGGACAGGAGAAAGAGTGGACATGGAAGATGATATGAAAACCTAAGGTGCCTTACAAAGTGAATTGTTTCACTTGGCTTTTGGCAAAAGAAGTTGTTCTAACACATGAGAACCTGACAAGAAAGGTCATCAGTTGGCTTCTAGGTGTTATATGTACGGAGAGCAAGCTGAGACAGTCAACCATCTTTTTTTACATTGTAAATGGACAGAACAACTGTGGAGAATGTTTCACTAGTGTGAGGGGATCAGATGGGTGAAACCAAGTTGCATTAGAAAGAGAGATGGAAGATTATCCAGCATACATTTGGTGGTCAATCTGGAAAGAGAGAAACAATAGGAGCTTTGGAAATGGGCAGAACAGTCTACATGATGTCAAAATGAAGTGTTTAGCTCTATTTTACTTTTGGTGTAAACATAGTTTACTAGCTCAAACTGAAGACATCTTTGATGTTCTAGATCTTTTTATAGGCAACAAAAATAGACTTGAGCTTTTGATAGATCGTAACACTTCTAAAGGGGAACTACACTTATACCTGTGGATACCTATAGAGTTATGTTACCCCTTTCACAAAAAAAAAAAAAAAAAAAACCCTCTACCAGTTCAATGTTTAAGGATGGTAGTATCGAGCCAATTCTATTTTTTAAATTACAGATTCAGACATACTATTCATTCCAATTTTACTAGATTTTTACCCATAAATTTATATTTTGTGTCGGAAGTACTGAGTGCAGATGAAACCGGAGCCCCAACATTGTATGTGCCTCTTATGGAAAGCCAAACTTGCTATTAACACTTCAATCTTAAAACAACCTTGTGCAACAACATCCCATTCATTAAAAAAATAGAATGAGATTTGAACCTTATGTTGGTCAAGCATTTATGACTCTTCGAATTGAGAAATAAGAAAAGGTTTCTACTTCAATATGTATCTCTTTACTTTTACACCCAATCGTAAAATAACGTCCTATAACACTAGTTGTACCAAGTCGGGCCACTCTAGTAATAACTTGTTGAAACTGGAATGACCTCATAGACTACTTGCAAAGACAGAGTAGTTTAAAATATGTCTGCTTTATAAGGAGCTACTTGAACTATCAAGGTAAAGAGAAACAACTTACGCACATGTTATGATCGCAAAATCCAGTCTTATGGTGTTTTTAAAAGTCATTGCTTTGCGCTTAAAGCGATAAAGCAATCCAAGCGAGGCTCTTCAAATCTATATTGCTAGGACTCTTCCAAAATTGTTGACGAGTGCGTGTTGAATCCACCAAATTAGTGTATTTTTGAAGGATCCGACATGGGTGCGACATCATTTTGGAGAATCTGAGCAACTTAGCATTTTGGGAGTAAGACCAACTTTATTATAGCATTAAATCATATGTTTTAGTTTTTTTAGTGTTCCATAATTTGTGCTTTACTTTATTATGTATATCTACTTTTATATTCTATTTTATGTATGATGACTATTAGAGAAAGTGAAAGGAAGCCACAAATGGAATATTTCTGTTTAGTTTATAACATCCTATGCCACTTCCTGTACCAGGTCGGCCCCTCTCGCTATGTTGCTCGAAATCTTAAAAAATGTTCGAACACGTGTTGGATCCTCCAAGAACAAACTACTTTTGGAGGATCCAACACACACCTGTCAATATTTTTTAAGAGTATGAGCAACATAGCCTTTTAGTAGTGACTTGTTGATATTAGAATGACCCTAGGTAGAAGGGTTTTAGACTACTTGCAAAAACAAAGTAGTTTGAACTTTAAAGTATGTTCACTTAATAGGAACCTACTTTGAAGAATATAGAAGTCAATCATGGTAAAGAGAAATGACTTCCACACATGCTATGATGCCAAAATCCGGTCATGGTGTTATTAGAAGGCATTGCTTCACTGGTTAAAGTGTTAAAGCAATCCAAGAGAGGAGACCACGCCCTTAAAATGATGACGCGCAAAATAACCCAAACCTTAAGCGGACAATTTTTGGCTCAATTATGAAGCTTTTGATCAATAACAACTTTATTATAACATTGAGAGGGTGTTTGAATTGACCTATTTTAAGGTATTTTCGACTTTAAAACACTTTTTTTATTTTTAGAGGTGTTTGACAAAGACACGAAGTGCTTACGCACTTTACCTTACGCTTAAAATGTACAAAAAAAAGACCCAAAAGTTAAAAGTAGGTAGCTACCTAATTTTGGCTTTTGACTTTTAATTCACTCAAAAAACTTTATCCAAACACCCACCGTAAATCATACGTGTTTGGTATATCTTAGCGTTCTACAACTTGTGCACTTTACTTATCTCTTTACTTTTATGTTCTACCTTATGATGATTATTAGAAGATAAAGGAAGTCACAAATGGTATATTTCTACTTAGTTTATAACATCCTCTAAACACTACTTGTACCAAGTTCGACCCCTTATAATTAACTTGTTGAAATTAGAATGACCTTCGGTAGAAGGGTTAGACTACTTGCAAAGACAAAGAGTGGTTTAAAATATGTTGAATTTATCAAAAGCTACTCGAAGAATATATAAGTCTATCAAGGTAAAGAGAAACAACTTCCACACATGTTATGATGGAAAAATCCAGTCTCATAGTATTATTAAAAGTTATTGCTTCGCCGCTTGAAATGATAAAAACAATCCAAGCGACGAGTTATTACTAATGAGGAAACCATGTGTTTTGAATGATGACGTGCAAAATAATCATAACCTTAAGAGGACAATATTTAGCTCAACTATGAGGAGTTGGATTAATACCAACTTTATTATAAGATTAAATCATACACGTTTGGTATATTTAGTTTTCCATAATTTGCATTTCACCACTTATCTCTTTGATTTTACGTTTTATTTCATGATGATTATTAGAGAAAAATGAATGGAAGCCACAAATGGAATATTTCTATTAAGTTTATAACATTCTCTCGCAGTTCTTGTACCAGGTCAGGGCCCTCTAGTAATAATTATGTGAAATTGAAATGACCTAGATAAAAGGGTTTTAGACTGCTTACAAAGACAAACGGTAGTTTGAAATATTTTGGCAATATTGGAAGCTATTAGAAGAATATAGAGAGGATCCAAGTAAAGAAAAACAACTTTCAGACATGTTATGATGACAATATGATGAAAAGATCTACCAAGTCTCCTAGTGTCATTATGGGTCATTGTTTTGCTTTTTAAGATGATGAAGCAAGACAAACGAGGAGTTATCGCTTCATAAGCGAAACCATACGCTTCAAATAATGACGCGCAAAATAGTCCCAACGGTAACCGGTCAATTTTTGGCTAAACTATGAGGAGTTGGATTAATATCAGCTTATATTATAGCATTACATTCATACATGTTTGGATTTTTTTTTTCCATAACTTGTGCACTATTCAAATAAATGTGAGCTTCCATTCTCACTTTTTGCCGCAAGCCCATAGATCTTGTTGCTTTTTTGTACTTAGTGCACTTTACCTCAAGGAAATGTAGTTCTCGCCTTTTGCTTTCAAGCCCATAGATCTTGTTCTTTTTTGTATTTCATGCTTTTGAAACATTGTAACCTCACGGTATAATCTTGTTTGATGATGTGATCACTACATCCACAATGATTAAAGTGTGTGCCAATAAGACTAATGTTTTCATATGGAAGGCTTCGTGCTCAAAGCGTATGGAGCTAGGTACCAATCAAGGTTTCCCTCTTTAAGTAGAGTTTATCATTTTCTCTTTGCGAAAAGAATTCTTGGTCTTCTCCTGTAAGAAAATGCGGTGAGGCAAATTTGTAATACTTAACAACACAGATCTTATGTGTTGGTGTTTGTTTCCTAGTTTAAATAGGAATGGGCTGGTAGGTGTTAAGGAACTCAAAGGTAATTGAGCTAACATTCTTTTCCCCTATACCAATCAGCATTCCCCTTCTTCTTTTACTCTCCCTCCTATCCTATCCACCAAATGATACACAGTGAGGATGTCCCCATTCATTATGTCATTATGGGAATAAAATATTATATCGCAATGCAGAAACCGTCCTCAATCACTGCACTCTACTCTTGAGGTGGTCCATACCTCAAGAGACCACAGCCACAAATGACTTGTTAGAGAAAATAACTGCAGCAAAGCAGGCACAGTCCCTTTCTGTTTTTTTTATCATTTTGACGGTAAGGAAGGGAGTCTTGGAGCAACTGTAAAGTTGTTTCCATGGAATCAGCCAATGATGTCTGCATCAAGATAGGCTGCCTACCTACATTGATCGAGTATGGCCCTTGCCCAGATCCATCATAAACACGAGATGTTTCGTGCACCAGGATACCCTTATCATTTTGACACAATCTGTAGATTTGATTGACTAGACTCCTAACTAATATAAGAACAGCTTATTCACAACCAAGGAAGAACGAATATCTTATATATAAGCCTAATAATGGACTTGAATACAAGTACCATCAACATAATGTTTCTGCAAACATCGATGAGCAATATCTTCAATACTATTTAGAGTCTAATTCGCAAAAGCTTAACTACCATCAGTATAATGCTTCTTCAAGCATCATTGATCAAGCCAACTTATATAAATACCAAATGTTGCCTGTGACCTTAACCTAAATCGCTCATGCCTGAAGCCATCAACATTCTGTTTTCTCGCTGTTAATGCCTAAACTTTCTATGCCACATTTAAATGTTATTAGCAGTTTTACATTCACATCAAGACACTGCACTAAGGCTGCATACACATCACCTACCCAGATCTCACCTGTGGGGTTACATTGGGTATGTTGTTGTTGTTGTGCACTGCACTTTAACTTGTGAACTATAATGATACAACAGCCATTTTACAATTGGGAGAAAGCAACAACATTGAATGTTATTCCATTCATAAATCATAATCAAGTACTCGTTATGAAGCTTGGATTACAAAAAAAAAAGCTTAAAACAATCAAGAAGTAACAAAATGCATCTTGTCTTTCCTCATGGCTATAGTCTACATGTACTGTATTATAATATAGCTAATAAATTGTAAGCTTTCTCAAGTTATCACCTTCTTAATTCCATGCCAAGAGGAAGATCAGGAAATCAAGAGATTTTGATTTGATTAGGGAGTTTGCTGCATCCCAGAGCAGGAGCCAGTAGAAGAGCCTGATAGGAAGAGTAGCACAGAATCCGATAAGAGTTTCTACTAAAATAGAGAACTGTTTAATTGTCCTTGAAGAACTAATAACAAACCAACATTTTCATACACCAGCAAAAAAGGTCTTATTTTGGGTCAAAAGGCATTCTCTACATAAGCGTACAATTAAACAGTTCTGCAATTACCAAATAACCCATGATAATACTTGATGTTGTATACATCAAATAAAACCTCTGATCAGACATACAAAGTTATTCGCTTCTACAATTACCAAATAATTAATCTCTTCCGGACATGAACGAGGCTGCAGCCTTATGGGGAAATATGATTTTCTCAAGAACCTCATCTTAATTAAGGCTATAGATACGTTCAGTCACATATCGAGAGATCTTGTATACACCAAATAAAACCTCATCTTAGGGGAAATCTTTCATATCCTTAAAGCTGGACATGAATGAGGCTGTAACCTAATCCATAAATACTTGATGTTCATGATCGGACATACAAAGTTAAACCACTACTAATTTTGTGTTGGTAAATGCAACACACATACAACAATGAGCATGTTCTGCACAAGGCACTGAGAATTTTGAAAAAGTATGCAACTGCTTCCTCCAATGAAGGAGCTTTTCTTGCAGATTTTAGTTAGAACCTTAATGCATGTTAAGTCAAAATATAAGAGTGGAACTACTTAGATGAGCTCACATGTATTATCAAGACCAAAATCAAGAGAATCTGAAACATAAATGCAAGGTATTTGAAAACAATACAAACGAACCTGCTTCAGAAGGATCTGGCACCTGAAGCATAACCTTTTCAGGAGTATCGGCATTTGGTTCCATCTGCATAGTTTGGTCAAAGTAAATGCCTTGTCCCTCTCCCTCATCCTGGAAGGAATAAAACCTTGACAGTTATGTCTCAACAAAAAAAAAATTGTTGTTGTATCAGAAATGTAAACATACTTTGGCCTCCCACAGTTGAGGCATATTTGGAATTTGCTCCATCAGGCGGCTGCATGACACAAGAAAATCTAAAAGAGTTACAAATCTTCTGATTCACCAACTTCAACAACCAAATTGATGCTTTCACTATGCAACATCATAGCAATAAGTAGTTATCTAGGAAGATTAACACACAGAATTAGATAAATTCAATTTTACGGTCATAATTACATTGCGCAAGACCAAATGGACACGTGATTTTGTCAAGAACAAAGCAGCACAGATATAACATGAAGTTACATGAACAAGACAAACACTAAAAAAAATACATCAAGTGCAGAAACGTTGGTTTGGATTAGCAATAAACATAACAAGTTATTACCTAGAATCAGTTACAAACGCCGCCCCCTGACTCGGACGATCCACATCAAGAAATCTTAACTTAGGTGTCACTTCGTCCTCAGGCATCCTCAGATGGTATGGCTCTTGTGATCTCTCAGGAGTAAATGCCGGCACCACAAGAGATATATTATGTGCCTATAGTTCGGACAAAAGAGTGACATCACAAGGGAGACATTATAATCTATATAATTAAGACCGAACGATGCATTTGTAGGAGAGCTAACTGGTGTAACAGAATGAGAAGAAGATGCTGGCACAGCATAAGGGACTTGAGGTACCACATTGTCCATAGTACGTGCAGCCTGATAATTTGAAAAAAAAAATTCATTTAGATTATAATAGTCTCAAAAAGAGGATAAAAGAAGACACTTCATCAAATATTTTTTTTTCAATTTTTTATATTTATTTACCCTTTTCTTCTATAGTCTTACCCATCCATTCAAACACCCAAAGTACTTTCACCACCATTAGAACACCACAAGTCAATCGAAACTGGGTCTTTAAGGAAGAAAGGTGAATAATTATTTGAAAGCTCGCCCAGAGATATTGGGGCTTTGCACTTCTGAAACCTAAAAATCAAATTATAAAAGAAAAAGTGAAGGGGGCAGAGAGGATGAACATGGCAGAATATTGTCATTAGTGGTGGTCACCGAAGATAAGCAATCCTCTCAAGGAAGATGAGGATGAGCCTATGATGTCTTCCACATCATCATCGATGGCGATGACAATTCCAAGAGGAAGAGATTGTTTCTATGACGTCTGATGAATTAACGAAATTACTAGCAAAAAAAATTGAGACATAGTTGATTGGTTGAGATTTGAGATTAATAGACATAGTTGATTGGTTGAGATTTGAGATTAATAATTAAAGGATCTATTAGTAAAAAAATAATTTTTTTGGTGGGTTCAATTGGATTTGAAGTAAACAAACCCATACTGATTTTTCTCAAATCAGATCCAAAGTACTTTGGGGTGATATAAATATATGTTAACTTATCTAAAATTGATTTAGGTTGATTGATTTTGCAAGAGTTGTACATGAGTTTGAAAAATTGTTTGGATTCAACAATGGTGAATCCGGTGAAGATGGTGGCAGTATGACTTAGAGGTGGTGAAAGATGGGAGATTTGTTTATATTGCTGGAGATGAAAGAAAACAAATAAGAAAAAAATTAAAACGCATTTATTTATTGAAAGAAGATATTGAAAATAAAGTTTTAACAATAGTTTTTGATGCTCACTCTACCAAAGAGAGTGAAATACACTCACTATGTTAGCTAAGCATTTAGGGAGGTAATAATTTCAGTTTTAAACAGTACATGGGGTGATAGGACCTTTATAAAATTAGTGTGTAGCTGAGAATCCAAATATACGTTAAGGGGGCATTTGACCATTTTCACTAAATTAACTTAGAAAAGTTTAGAGAATACCTCAGCATAAGGATCTTGGGCGGACTGATTAGAGATGAGCATATCAGAGAACACATTCCACCAGTCCGCGAGAAATGACCCCGGAGATTTTGGAGCTGAAACAAATCGCAGATTTAAATAATTGAACATTAGAACATCACCACAAATAAAATGATCAGTCACTATGTTGTGCACATCCCTCCAAAATAAAGAAGAGCAACTAATACAATTTTACAGAAAGCATTTTCAAGAAAAAATTGACCCTAGAACAAGTGCACCACAACATTCAAAGAATGGCATTATCTATCATTCCCTTCATTCTATTTGTATGAATACTTTTGGTATGTTACACTCTCTTTAACCCAATTCATATGACATACTTTACTTTTTCATTTATCCCCAGAAAATTAAAAATACTTTAAATTTTCATGTTACTGTGATGATTTATAGTCACACATATTTAAAGCTTATTTTAGACCACATGTATAAAGGTCTTTCATAATTTTTGTAGCCCGATGACACATAAATTCGAATATAGAGATCTGGAGGGCCATCAGAAACCTTTGGCAAAACTAAGAGAAGATTACAGCATTGGAATAGGAAATGCCATGAAGGTCTCCTTCTGGGAGGACAGTTGGTTAGAACAAGGCTCCTTAAAACCCCTCTTCCCAGATATCTACATTCTGAAACAACAACAAAAAGACACTGTGGCAGAAGTTTGGTCAAATCGGGATGGAATCTGAGCTTCAGAAGGCCCCTATATGATTGGGAGATCCAAAGACTAGTAGATTTCTTTGGAATCCTTGAGCAATTCAAAGGAACCTCTACCTCCCAAGATGGATTGTTTTGGAATCATAACTGCAATGGAAATTTTAGTGTGAAGGAAGCTTACAAAAAGTTCAACTCTTTCATCTATCAGGTTACTGGCTGGCCATGGAAACTTATCTGGAAAGTTAAAATACCTCCAAAAGTGTCCTGCTTCACTTAGCTACTAGCAAAGCAGGCTGTTTTATCCTAGGAAAACCTCATGAAAAGGGGTATCCAACTGAGTCCTAGATGTTTCCTGTGTGGAGAAGAGGCTGAGTCAGTCAATCACCTCTTTCTTCACTGTAGGATCACTAATATTTTGTGGAGCATTTTCATCAATTCGAAGGGCCTACTTTGGGTGATGCCAAGAAATATTGTCCAGGCCCTGAAAACATGGAGTATCTTTGCCTACATTTCTGGTCATAAAGAAGGATGCAAGATCATCCCCACCTGTATCTGATGGTCTGTGTGGAAAGAGAGGAACCTCAGATGCTTCCAGAACAAAAGTAACAGCATCCAGAAGATGAAGATGAATGGCTTGGTTTTATTTCTTTTTTTTCTAGAATCAGTAATGCATGCTTTAGGCACCTTGTAATTTTTGTTATTTAGGATTTAAGATCTTCGTGATACTCTCCTTTTATTTGTAATTAGTAAACTTGTAACAAGTTATGGCAGGTTTGATTTTTTGGAATATAATACAAGACTGTTACCTTCACAAAAGAAAATTGAAGTTGTGCCATAAGACTTCCTTTTTTTCTTAAAATATGTGTCTAGTCAAACGCCATATAAAAATTAAAATGAAATCAAAGCAATAACATAGTTAACATGATCATCAATAAAAGGGTAGCCCAATGCACAATCCATCCTGCATTCACCCAATGTCCGAAAAAAGGCCCGCAGCCCAAGGGATGTGACTAGGCAGTCTACCCTGAATTATACATCATGCGAAGACAATTTTTAATGAAGATAAAGCACAGCAATGAGTTCAAATCTGCCATAAATTTAAAGAAAGACTTACCATCATCTGTGGGAATTTCAAGATCAACTTCACTCGCGAATGCCTCGGCAGACTCACGCATCCCCTTCTTAACCAAGTAATCATAGATGCACTTTTCAAGCCTGAAGAATTGCCGATAGAATCTCATTAATTTGATGTGAATTGTTTTCCCCTAAAGCATTTTCTCGATGAATACGCCTTCCAACATTAATTTAAAAGGAAAAAATTAAATTTGACCCTATACTATCTAAAATTCAACCCTGAAGGACAGCCGGTGCACTAAAGTTCCCGTTATGCACGAAATTCAGGGAAGGACCGGATTACAACGGCGGTCTATTGTATACAATCTTACCCAACATTTTTTCAAGAGATTGGACCAGACCACAAAGGTCTAATGTACGTTGTCTTATAAAGCATTTTTGGAAGAGATTGTTCCCACGGCTTGAACCCGTAACCTTCTGGTTGCAGTGTAACAACTTTACCAGTTACTCCCAGGCTCCCCTTCCGCCTAGTGAAAATTATTTTCTTATATCTTACACTTGTCTCGTATCACTTGCTTCAACAACTAATCATGCCTTCCCTTTCAACTTCTAAAACTTAAAAATGTAATCAAAACCCTATTGAAAAATTTCTCCAAAAAATTATTTCCCAAGATAGACCACGTTTTACATCAATTACTCTGATTGAGAAAAACATTCAACCATAAAATTAAGAGGACATAAAAGGAGAAAAGAACATATATCATAAAAAGTTTTAAACTTGTACTCACATCCTTTTAGAATTCCCTGAGTCCATGATCCAAAAGAAAATGGAGAAAGAGGAGAAAATGAGAGTGAAGATAGATGTTAACAAGATTTGTCTGCAGAAAACTTAACGGAAGAAAAGATACAAACAAACAACATGTATTATTGACTTAAAAATACTGAGTGATAAAAGAGACAAGAAAATGGGTGTCAAATAAAGGCAAAAAAGGGAAAAATGACATCTATTTTTTCACTATTAAAATGGAAAATTATTTAATAAAAGTGTGTAAAAAAAATATGTAAATCAAATAAACGATGGGTGATAATTTGTAAAACGAAAATTATGTTGACTTGAAGAGTGTGAGAAATAAAAGAGACAAGAAAAGGATGCAAAAAGAAAATTTACAATTTCATTGTTAAAATTGAAACAAATTCATCATAAAGTATGTATAATAAATAATATGCATGTAAAATATGCAATCAACCGAATGATAATGTACATACCAACAATTGTATTGACTTACTGAGATTGAGAAAGAAAAGAAATAGAGAAAGAAATCTACATTTCATTGTTAAAATGGAAAAAAAATCATTATGAAGTGTGAGTATAGAAAAAAAGTATGGCAGGTAAGTTCAAGCAATTCAATAAATTGAAGGATAAGTGATAATTTGGTTGTTAAATAAAATAAAAACAATATGCACAAAAGAATTCATAGCAATAAAAAGTATTCTTGTTTCGTCTCCACAACTAAAATATTCTTTAAGATTTAGAGCTTTTTCTTTTTCAATCAATTAATTCATATTACACTTTATTTTCCTTTAAGAATTTTCCTTTTATACCTTTTGTACCAGGCAGAAATAATTTATTCGTTTCTTATGCGTTTGACTCCTAAAGTCGTTGGATAATTTTTAGAAGTTTTCCTGAAAAGAATATTGAGAGAATTTTAATAGAAAAAACTATAAGGTGTAGGGTAATTATATATTTAAGAATTTGATTTGTTTGCCAAATTTTAAAAAGTATCTGAATTTAAATTCTTAACTATTTGAGAACATTTCTAAAAGTGTTTTCGGTGAAAACTTTTAAAGAAGTTTATGAAGATAATCTTAGGGCCTTGTATGGTTAGGCACTTCAAAATTTGTTCCTATAAATTTCCTTTGTTTATTATCTCCGGAGTGGAGAATTAATATTTTTTAAAAGAGGATCATGAAATAGTGAAAAGAAGAAGACCTAATTTGTATGTGTTCAAAGAATGAGGTAAGCATAAAATCGTATGAAATGAAGTTGTTTTCAAATAAATACGATCTCTTTAAAAACACGTACACTTAACAAAAAATAAGATGCAATAAGAAAAATAAACTAGCAAGTGATACCAATTAGTTGTGACTAAAGATTTAATAATGATGATACATTTAAGTTAGGTCCACTACCCAGTATTAGTCTTTTGTTCTAGTCAGAAACTATATGATCATTTAGAAAATGCGGAGAATTTCTAACACTAAGAGCGGTTTCTTTTTTGTCAGGATTTATATAAATTTCATCATTTATATTTTGCACTTGATTCCATGCTAGGATCATCAACTAGTCATCATCACTTCTTTAATCTTTTTTACTACAAGTATAAATCCTCACAAAAAAAAATATTATTTTTACTTACTTCATCCCCTTTTACTAGTCAATTTATAAAAATAAACTTTTTGTTTTTACTTGTTCACTTAAGAAATTCACCATTAACATGAAGTAATCACCTTAACTAATTGAAGTACTAATAGTCGATTCTTCCTTTTTTAAAGCTCATGCCCACATAAATCAGAACAGAGGGAACGATATAACCTAACCTTTGTAGAATCCATCATGTCTTTAGTCATTGTCTTCACATCATGGGCTTTCTTTTTGTACTTTATCTGCAGTACTAGTATCTGATTTCTTCTTCAATTTTCTTTGCAGTTTTTGTCAAGGATCTTCCATGCGTATTTTAGATTTCTCGGTCATCTCGACGATCCTATCCCCTGAATCTGTCACAGTCCAATCGTTGTTGAAACCTTTATCATAGTCCGATTTTCTTTTATATTTGTCCGATGCATGGTACCCCTACACCATAAACAGTAACAACAAAAGAAAGTCAGTAAAAGCTTCCGTTATCTGCAAAAACTATACTATACTCTTTCTGATACTATTTTCTTATTAATTTGCTTCAAAAAGAAAAAGAAAACCTCTTTAGATTTAGAGAATTCAATTTTCTTAAGTTTTTTTAACTAAATAAATGTTAATGACTTATTCAAAATTACACATTTCAAAAGTTTATACACAAATGGAAGCAGATCTAAAATTTGAATTCTATAGATTCAAGCACAAAACTCTACCACAATTCATTTAATTTACCATCTTTTAACACATAGACGGAGCTAGTATAAATTTTGAGCTTACAAATTCAGAATTCTGGAGAAGACAAACTTAGCAAAATTCAATAAATAATTTATAAATTTTAAGTGAATTTTTAAACGCAAATACAGGATGCATCCCAGGCTAAAGCTACTGGGTTCAGTGATCCCACCAAACTAGTATGAAGGATTGTAACTTCCCCCCTATTTTAACACATATAAGCCCGTGTTTTAAATACATACATACATACATATACAAGGTTTAAGTCTAACTAGATTTAAACAGACAAATATTATGCCATGCTTAGTACTACCTATCTCATATAAATTTCGTAACTAATCATACTATGTCATATAAATTAAATTGGAAAAAGTATCATAATCATCTACCAAAAACAATAAACAAGGGGGAAGTTGAAAGGTACCTCGAAATAAGTGGGGGAGGAAGAGAAGCAAACACGAGAGACAGCCTTGGAGAATAGACATTACATCCAAAAGACTTCATTCTTAACATTGTTCTTAGTTCTTTAGAATCTTCCATGCATTGCCTCATTTTCTGAACAACTACAAGACGGTGGTAGAGCCAGGATTTTCAATAAAAAATTTTAAAATATCAAGAAGGACACAAAGAAGCAAAGGAATTCAATATCAATATAAACATTAAAAAAAAGTATATTTTCCAGCAAAGAGAGTTGAGATGAACCCCGTTGTGCCCACTATCTAGTATGAGAAAAGAAAAAATCCTTAATTTCTCCTTTCGCCTGCCTATCACCAAAGTTTTTGTTTATGCTGAAAACTTATGTAAATCTTCACCATGAAGAGTTCCACTTTTTCCATAATCCTACATAAGGCTCTCACATTTCACATTAGAATTTTAAGTTGAATTTCTCCCTTGAATACTGATATGCAGCAAGTTGCAGAAAGATATCTCAACGACCAAAAATATTTTGGAAACAAATTCACAACTTGATATTGTAATCAAAACAACTGCTAAGTGTTAAGATCACGGGATCACTTATGAGTATTCAACTTATTCTGGCATGTTCTTCACTTAAGTCAGCATGCATAAGCATATCACTGTTGAAATCATTAAAATTTGCAAGGGCAGAAAATGTGCGCTCAAAAGGTTGAGCTGCCAGCCCACTTTAGGTAAAACATCATGCTGAGGACAGGATGAAGTTTAGAAAATTGTTTCTTTTGATTTGATACTCATAAACTGGGACTTGACAATTGATAGTCAATGGCAGGGGCCGCAATACCAACTCCCTGAGAACAAAAAACAGAATAAACGAACTTAAAGATGAACCTGAACTGAATACTATAATCAACGTGCAGATTAAGTTGACTTTTCAGCTCTACTAAAAAATTCAGGGCTCTGACAGATAAGCTCCATCCTTGATTACATACTTGTTGGCGAGCCTTATTCTCCTCTGGAGGTACAATAAAAGGAAAAAATCAATCAAAAGCACAGTACGAAAAGAATTTGAAACCTTAAAGAACAGATGATACAACCAGCAATACTTGATAAATTAGCATGAATCTACAGTACCGCTTAGCTCAAATTCATCATTTGTACAATCTAAGTTTTAAGAAATTTTGTGTCCGTATGGTCAATGCAATAAATATTCTTGGAAACTCTTGGGGAAAAAACATTTGAAGAGCGAAGCACTCATCATACCCAAAGAACAAAGAACATTGTGTGCTACTTCCCTACTTCTTTCCGTGTATGTTTCCTTTATATCATGTTTATCCTAAAGGCTATTTCAAGGAAAGTAATCTTCGTTAAATAGCAAAGGAGAGGAAGATAAAGAAGAGAAGATCATTGGTGAGTATTGAAACTTTGCATCTTAGTAATGTAGGATGGAAAAGCAACCACTAAGCAGCATCTATTTACTTTTTAAAATGCACAACACCAACTCTTTCCATTAACATTCAATTTTGCAGGACGAAGACAGGTATTTATTCTGTTAAGATTGGCAGCAATAAGAAAAGGAGGCTTTTGCCTCTGCAAATCATGCCTCAATCTATACAAATAAAATATGAGAAAGTAGTCACCGGAACACCGTAATGTGCGAATTGGAAATGAAAAGGTAGACACCAGAAAGATAGCACGGGGCTAAGTGATATGGGGTTGACACAAAACAGTCCTAGAATGTCATCTGAAACTGATGCACGATCACATGCCTGACTGAGTTTTCTTCCCCTGGATATGGTTTTCATGCATATATTATTAGTCCTACTTTTGTTACATAACCATTAGCTAGACGGGTGGCATATATGGGTCATAGCCATCCCCCGGTAGCGGAAGCTCTTCGTTTCTTTACCAGAATAGTACAAACTCTGATACCGTGTGAGATATATAAGAGAAAAATATTACTCCCTTTGTCCTAATTTATATTCTGTTTTTAGAGAGTTAAACAGTTTAATTTTGATCGAGAACTTGCTCATGAAATCTTCATTTTTAAAAAAATAAAATTTATATGTTTGTAAACTATGTAAAAAATACATAAACAGATTCCTAAACTTGTTGTGTTTTTCCTCTCAGGTACCTCAACTATGTTATTTTTCCTATTGAAATATTGAACTACCCAAAATTTGTTCCTTTTAAACACCGTTGGCTGATGTGGAACCAGATTTTGCGAGGGGTGTTGATAGAGGATACATTATTGTTCCAGAACTCATTAGTCTACTTGATAGTCACTCTGTTTGAGAATAATTGTGTTTTAAGTCATTTGAACACATTAGAAAATCATAACAACACGACAATAGAAAAGCCGATCAAAATCAGCCAACAGTGTTTAAAAGGAACAAATTATGGGTAAATTAATTATTCAATAGGAAAATAAAGTAGTTGAGGTACCTGAAGGAAAAAATCCGACAAGTTTTATGAGTTCGGTCAATATACTATAAGTCACAATAATTGACAATTCAAAATATTTAAAAAATATATGAAACATATATGGTCAAAGATAGGCTTGTTTGAATCTCAAAATCTCAAATGTGTCACATAAATTGGGACAGAGGGAGTATTGAATTGTGTTTCTATGTTATACTACATTGAAACTCTATTTATAGACACTACATTACAATCCTTTTCAAAGTAGGATTACATATATTAATTCTACTTCTAATTATATTCGTATTCTAAGTAGGATTTTATATACTTTTCTTGTTCCTATTCCTATTGTAATACTAACCATTCAGCTTATCAGAAAAAACTACAACATAACACCATATACCTATTAGTGTTCGTTAGAATAAGAATAGGTCTACAAAAACTTACTTCGAATAGAAATAGAAATAGTATATAGTATCCAACTTGATGAAGGATTGTCTGATAGTGTCTATAAAGAGGATTCTTTGAGTAATAATGTCGACACAATGAACAATATTTTTCTCTCATGTTTCTCACATAGTAATAGAGCATTGGTGAGAAACTTACCCAAAAAAATTGAAAAACAGGTCAGAATTCGATGACTGTCGAAGGCTAGTTTGCGTTGCTTTTTGTTTGGTAAGTGTTATGTGAAAACAAACACCACCACAAGGTGCTGAACACTTGGGAGAGAAAACCTCAGTGACCTCCTATGATTTTTTACGTATCACGCGCCCTCACGCGCCAACGGAAGATCAAGATTTGCGTCACAACACACGCCAGTGTGTGCAGTAGTTTTCGGCCAATTTTTTGGAAAAAATTCACCAGGGAGGTTGCCTCTAATTTTCGACAACACCCGTTTGGGGCTTTTCTGTGCTTTTCACTAAATATTCTAATAACAATTATGAGATTTTTATCTTTTCACTAAATACTCTAATAACGACTATAAGATTTTTATCTTTTTTCGCACCAATGTTCGCATAAAGCTTAAGCACATCTCAATTGTTTTGGCATGTACCTACTACCTCCCACCAACATAGGTACTAGCCTACTAGCATAAAGCTTAAGCACACCTCAATTGTTTTGGCATGTACCTACTACCTCCCACCAACATAGGTACTAGCCTACTAGGTAAATTTGCGATCAAATAGGAAGAAATTACCAAGCATTTTTTGTCTCTACTTGAACTTGAATCCTAGTATATGATTTTCACCCATTTTATTGATTGCTGGCCTACACCGTTGGGTGCAGAAATTATGCAAGTTTGACATTGCTTAAATTCATACCATAGATCTAAATTGGACTATGTAATATCCTTTTTTCTTGAAAATATTATAATGTAGCAACTAAAAACTTCATGCTATTTACCCTTGTGGAAGTGTAACATTGCTTTATTTCTTTTAGATGTCACGAATTATCAATAGACATGCTCAGCAAGAGCAAGATCACTTGACTGTTAAAAAAGAATCCTCTTAGTCCCAAATTTCTACCATTGTGGTCACAAATGCAGTAATCAAAACTACCATCCTTACCAAAAAATAGTTCCAATCAACATCATTTGAATACCTTCTTTTCTTCTACTGTAAATTAATATAATGTTATGCTTAAATGTATACTATTTCTTATAGGATTTTATAAAAAACAATGAAAAAGGCATGATAGGAAACTAAAAGACGTTAATGAAAAGTATAAAAGAATCCAGAATGTATACCATATATGTTCAACCTTTAAGGTTCGTCATATTGAACCCATTGTATTTTTAGAATTATGGATCCAGAAATACTAGTCAATTATGAAGTTCTAGTAATTTTTTAGGCATAGATTCATATTGAGCATCGAAAATAGAAGCAGATGAACCTAGCATTGAAACACTACATCCGCCTCCTATGGGAAGTCACACTTGCTATTAACACCAAGTCTTCAAGCAATCATACTTAACAACCACCCATTCATTAGAAAATAGAATGAGATTTGAGACTTAATTGGTTATGCATTTATGACGACTTGTGGAATTGAAAAATGGAAAAAGGATTCTATGTCATTACATATTTATATCTTTAATTCTATGCTCTATCTTATTACAATTATTAGGGAAAGAAAAAGGAAGTCATGGAAGTTTATAACAACTTCTACCAAGTCAAACCCCTCTAGTAATAACTTGATAAAATTGTAATGACCTAGGTAAAAGAGTTTGAGACTACTTTCAAAGACAGAGTAATTTAAACTATATTCACTTTATAGGCAGCTACTTGAAGAATATAGAAGTCGATCAAGGTAAAGAGAAAAAGACTTTTAGACATGTTATGATGGAAATATTTGCTATGTGTGTTATTAAAAGTCATTGTTTTCACCACAAAAAGTGAAAGCAATCCTAGAGAAGAGTTACTATTTTATAAGCGAAACCATGTGCTTCAAATGATGAAGCACAAAGTTATCCCAACCATAAGAGGACGCTTCTTGCTTCAACTAGGAAGAGTTGGATTTGTACCGACTTAATTATAGCATTAAATTCATACATGATTTATATTTTAAAATTTTCCATGATTTACTTCATCATGTACTATAGTGTTCTATCTTATAACAATTATTAGGGAAAGAGAAAGGAAGTCACAAATGGACTATTTATATTTAGTTAATAAAATTCTCCTACACTTCCTATACCAGGTCGGACCGCACTAGTAACAGCTTCCTGAAACTGGAATGACCTAGACAAAAGGTTTTAGACTACTTGCAAAGACAAGAGTAGTTTAAAATATGTTTTCTTTATAGCAAGTTACTTGCAGAGGCAATCAAAGTAAGGAAAGACAGACTTTCATACATGTTATGATGGCACGATAAGTTCAACTTCATAGTATTTTTAAGGGCCATTGTTTTTGTCGCTTAAAGCAATAGAGCAAGCCAAGCAAGGAGTTATCACTTCAAGCAAAGCGAGGAAGCTTCAGAGAAGTGCGTGCTTCAAATGATGACACACAAAAATAATCCTAATCATAAGCGGACAATTTTTGGCTTAACTATGAGGAGTTGGACTAATATTAGCTTTATTATGGCATTAAATTCAAACATGTTTGGTATTTTTTTATTTCCATAACTTGTGCGCTTTACTTTAAAGAAGCATGCACTTCAGTTCTCGCTTTTTGCTTCAAGCCCATAATTCTTATTGCTTTTTATGGGCTTTACTTCAAATAAAGGTGCACTTCCATTCTCGCTTTTTGCTTCAAGCTCATAGATCTTGTTGTGTTTTTCGTCTTTCAAAGTATTGGAGCATCATGGTATAGGTTTGCCTAACAATTTGATCACTACATCAACAATTATGAAAGTGAGCCAATCAAGCTGTGTTTTCATATGGAAGGCCTCATGCTCAAAACGCATGGAGCTAGAAAACAACCAAAGTTCTCCTCTTTAAGTGGAGTTCATCATTTTCTCTTTGCGAGAAAGAACTTTTGGTCTTCTCCAATGAGGAAATGCGATGGGTCAATTTCCAATAATTAACAACACAAATCTTACGGAATTCAAAAGTAATTGAACTGACATTTAACATTCGTTTTCCCCATTATCAACTCACTGATCCTCTTCCTCTTTTACTTTCCCTCTCCCTCATCCTGGAAGGAATAAAACCTAGTGTAAGTTATGTCACATCTTCAAAAAAAAAAAAAGTTATTATTCGGAAATACAAACTTACTTTGGCCTCCCACTGTTGAGGCGTTATTTGAAATCTACTCCATCAGGTGGCTGTATGACACATGAACATCCAAAAAAGTTAACAATGTTCTGATTCACGACCTTCAACAACCAAATTGATGCTTTCGCTATGCAATATCTAAGCAATAACTAATTATCCAGAAACATAACACAGAGAATTGGATAAATTCAATTGCATTGCACAAAACCCAATGGAACGTGTTTTTGTTCAAGAACAAAGCAGCATTGATATAACATGTAGTTAAGCGAACAAGGGGAACACTATAAAATACATCAAGCGCAGAAATATTGGTCCGCAATAGCAATAAATATAACATGTTACCTAGAATCAGTTACAATTGGCACCCTCTGACTTTGACTCGGACTCGGACGATCCATCTCAGGAAACCTTAAATCAAACAGTGCTTCGTCCTCAGGTGCCCTCAGGTGGAAGGCCGGAACCAGAGGAGATATATTGTGCGCCTATAGTTAGTAAAAAAAGTGACATCACTAAGGAGATATTGTAATCTATAAAATTAAATTGAAACGGCTGCATGTTACAAGAGCTAACTGGTCTAGCAGAATGAGGAAAAGATGTTGGCGCAGCAAATGGGATAGGATACTCCACATTGTCAATAGCCTGTGCAGCCTGAGAATTAAAGAAGTATCATGCATTTAGATTATAATAGTCTCAAAAAAAAAGATAAATTTAATCTCATATTGAAATGCCTCTGATATTTACACAAGAACCTCATGCGTGCTAGAGTAAGGTTATCAAAATCAAATACGATGAGGGGGATAGAAGGATGACAACGGAAGTAATTACTCCATATGGGGTTAACTGTGTGAAAATCAATTAAATTACTCTGGCCTTTTATGAAGAACCACACCAATATTAAAGTAGGAAATGGTTGCAAGATCTCCTTTTGGGAGGATAGGTCACATAGTTTAAAGGGTTTGTTCCCTGAATTAGCTGGTATTGCAGTACAACAGAATGTGAGTGTACCTGACATATGGACACAACAAGGATGGGACAATGAATTCAGGAAGAACTTCAATGACTGGGATTCTGTCATTGAGTTCTTCAGAATGTTGGAGGAGTTTAGAGCTACAAGTGAAGAAGCAGACTTTGGCAGAAATTAGATAGCAATGGCATATTCAAGGTGAACTCTGCTTACAAGTTATTGAACCGAGGAAACCAACAGGCACAACATTGGTCATGGAAGCATAAATGGAAGACCAAAATTCCCTTCAAAGTTGTCTGTTTTACTTGGTTATTAGCAAGAGAGGCTGTTTTGACACAAGAGAACCTCAAGAAGAGAAAATTCTCTTTATGTCCCAGATGTTACCTTTGTGGTGAAGAGGTTGAGACAGTTGGTCATCTATTTTGCAATGCAGGATAACTACACAGTTGTGGAGGATTTTTGTTAGCCTTAGGAGCATTAGTTAGTGTCATGCCTAACAAAATAACTCACTTGTTATATAGTTGCGAGGAAGCAGGAGTAGGAGCTGCAACAGAGACAAATGGAGAATTGTCTCAACTTGTATTTGGTGGATAATATGGAAGAAAAGGAATTCAAAATGTTCTGAGAGCAAAAACCATGATCTACATATGATGAAACTAAATTGCATTAGACTTTTTGTTTCTAGTGCAAACAAATATACTTAGAGGATGCCGACTCGATTAAATACATCATATGATATTGTTAGGACTGCGAGTCCGCTTTTAAATATGGTTTCAGTGCAACTCGACTACTGACTTGTCAATATACACAAATGTTACCTTCTCACAAAAAAACGACGAATTTAATTTAGAAAAGTTCACGGAATACCTCAGAATATGGCTCTTGGGCACGCTTGGCCTGATTAGAGCTGAACTTCTCATAGAACACATCCCACCATTCCATTAGCAATCCCTCCGGGGATTCAATAGCTAAAACAAATCATATAAATTAAATAATACTACATTAGCACATCACCACAAATATAAAATTATCAAAATTAACAAGTCTTCTCTTTATGAACCGTTTTAAAAAAAAAAAATAACAAAATTCTATATCTATGTCCAGTCAACCAAACAGCATATAAAAATTAAAAGAGCTAAATGATTAAAAAAAAACACTACAACTACATCTTTTGCACGAGCTTCATGCCCTAACTATCCGTTATTCTTTTTTCTATCTAAAAATTATCATCATTTATAAATTTAAACACATATCAACTATTCCTTTTCTTCTTTTTAATCACAAGAAAAACCCTATCTTTTGGATGTATGCACGTAAAATCCTACTCCTATACAATAGCTCACAAAATACGTAGGAGAGGTAATCCGTACTAGGCAACGAGCTCGACTCAGAAGGCAAACTCCTTGCTTTCACCGACAAGGAATTTCGAAAACATCCAACATGAAAGTCTTAAGCTCAAACAACTGGATCAAGATTCAACTATTTCGTTAAAAGATACATAATTAGGGTATAAAACCCCAAAAAAGTGATAGATAAATTCTTTTACAGCATCCTGCATTCACTCGAGCTTACATAGACAATCTACCTTAACCCAAACATCAATAATCACGGGTAACTAATTTCACGATCGCCCCATGAATTATAAATCACATAAAAATAACTTTTAACAATAATAATCATAATTAAAGCAAATAATCAGTTCAAATTATCATAAATTTAAGAGAAAAACTTACCAACGGTATCGGGATTCACAACATTAGCTTCAATGGCGAATATTTCAGCAGTCACATGCAGCCCCTTTTTAACCAAGTAGTTGTAGAGGTATTTGTCCAGCCTGAAATTTTTTTTCCAAAATTGAGTCATAAAACACAAATTTATATATGTAACACAATTTAAAATATATAATTTAAATTTTTGAAATTTCGACCTGAATATGTAAAGACGAATTTGCCCCTCTGCTATTTAAATTTGTGTTTATTCAAGGTTTTAGAATTAATGAATTGTGTCTTATTTAATCCAATTATTAATTGAGTTTTTTGTGTGAATAAATGGTGTTTTAAGTGTTAAAATTATTTGAGAAAAAAGAGGTATTTATATTTACTCTTTTTAATTTTTTACTAGAATTTAATGTTCAATATAATTTCATGAGTAGATTTGTAATGCGTATATAATTTTTTTTATCTCTATGTTATAAAATGAGAGAATTAATTTTAATAAATCGTTGTCTCAAATAAAGTAAATTAATTTTAATTATACCTGAAATTGGATTAAATTGAATTTTTAATAAGAGGAAAAGTTTTGAGGATTATATAAGGGAAAATGATTTTTTTCCTCCACTTTATTAATATGAAAATTCATCTAATTTGTCTAGATTTTGACTTAGGTTTGTAAGCCAAACTAACTTATAAAAAAAATATCTCTATTTTAATTTGATTTGTCATGATAAATAAATAAAAAGCGTTTAATACTTTAATTTCATAATAAACGAAATAAACTAACAAGTAAAGAGGTGAATAATAATTATGAGTTCGACCGCTTAATTTATGACATATTATTTGGGCCTAGGCAAAAATTGAGAAATTGAAATTACTTGATCACTAAATAAAATAAAATAAAATAAAATGATCTTTAAAACCTTTTAAGCGTAAAAAGACCATCAAATTTTAAAAAATAAAAATGTAAGTGACATAAAAATCAATATATCCGCAAAAATTGAACATGCTTTGATCCAGTTATTAATCTGATCTGATTCAATCGTTCAAATGTAGCCAAAAAGAATTTTTAAAACTCCTAGTGAAAATCATTTTATTTTGTTCTACGTTTATTCTATATCACTCGTTTTCAATCAAGACTTATGTTTCTTCTCCTATTTTTACAACATTAAAAAATTATCAAAACACCGTAAAATAATTCTATAAAAAATATTATTCAAGATTAAATATTTTTTTACATAAATTTCTTTGATTAGATAAATCATTCAAACCTAAAATAATGAAAATGCTAAAAGAGAAAACAACATTAAAAAAATTAATTAGAAAACAACTTTTTATTTAGAAACTCACATTATTTGGGGATTCCATGACTCCATGATCCTTAAAGACTAAAAGAAGTTTTTTTTTAGAGCATAGAGAAGAAGAAGAAGAGGAGGAGATTAAAATGAAATAACAATGAAAAAAGAGGAAATATAAAAAGTGAAAATAATTTGTGAAGACGTTAATAACATGTAAAACTCAAATGGGTGTGAAAACACACACACACACAAAAAATGAAGTTTGACTTGAAAATAGTGATTAAAAAAAAAAGTCAAAATTACTACTAGATTTTCTTTAAAATTAAAGAACTTCATTTATTAATCAACTAATTCAAATTACACATTTTTTTTTCTCTCTTTAAGCATTTTCATTTTATACTTTTTGTACAATGTGGAAATAATTTATATTATTTTTATGCCTCTAATTCCTAAAGACATTTGAGGATTTTAAACAATTATAGAATTTTGCTAGTGAGATACTTCAATTTTATTTCTAGATCTTTTATAATTTTCTTGACTTAGAAAGGGGATAATTAATTATTTAAATGGTGAACTCAAAGAAATATTGATAATTTGAAAATGTCAGTACAAATAAGGTGAATTGTAAAACATAAAATATAGTCAAATTGAAAGATCAATAACTTATCTAAATTTATGAAAATTTAAAAATAAATAGAATCCGATTAATAAGAAGGTCATTGAAGTTTAATGTAATCAATACATTTACTCGTAGTTTATTGAGAGTATTTTAAATTAGTTAGACTTAGATGATCGTTTAGAAAATACAAAGAATTTATAAGTAAAAGAAATAATGTAATTTAAAATATTGTAGGAAAACTATACAAAATTTACCAGAATTAACAATACATATTTTTTGAACAACAAATATTCATTATTGATCTTATTTAACGACGAATTAGCTATAATCACATAAGCTATATGTTACTATCTAACAAAAATTAGTGACAAAACGTGTTAATTTTTTTTTCCAACGTAACATTTGCTTGACTTGATACAAAATAGATTTATTTTGTAGACAAAATTAAATAAAAGAACAGTCAATTCGTACAATTGAAGAGGAATATTGCAATAAATGAGTATAAATTTAGTTGACAAAAGAAAAAAAATATTTTTGCACCAAAAGAAAAGAAGAAATTTTCATTAAATGACCTCACTTAAACCAATAAAATATATACAATCAATTCTACAGATATTAACAAATTAATTTGTACAAATCATTAACATTTTTAAATAATACTGATAAATTGCACCATTTATTTTTTGCACCTATTTTATACTAGCATCACCAAGATATCTTTCAGATTGTAAATTATAAAATCCTCATAAACAAAAAAAAAGTAAAAATTACTTGCTGTTTTTTTTTTGTAAACATTAAGATTTAATTTATTAAAATTACAAAAATAAGTATTCTTGATATAACTAGAATCTCAGTGAACTTGCTCTTCATCTTATGAATTAGTCAAATATATCAAATTCAAATAGTTCTTTTTTTAAAAAAATTAAAATCTTTTTTTAAAAAAAAAATGTAAGTGGACTAATTGATAAAAGATACAATATGGATCTTTAAAAAATAAGCATTATTTTATATAAAGAATTTAAGTTAAATAAATTTAAAACGCTTACATAATAAAGCATTTGAATTCTCAGCTAGCCATTTCAATATCGTCTAATATATTTTGAGAAAACAATAAAGCGGAAGACTCGAGAAAACTTTAGCTCCAACGCTAAATAACAACCATATCAGAATTGTTTATCGCAATCAATCAACGTAGCCAAAAATATACCAAACTAGTTGAAATCGACTGCATGAATCCTATGTATAAATCTTAAAATCATTTAAGTCACTACAATATATACCAATACCAAATTTTATACTAGCAATTCTGATAATCATCTTCTTCAAGACCGTCAAAATATGTTAAACGAGATTCAAATAAGGAAAGAAAATCAGGGAAAACCCTAACATGTTTCAGGCCAAATAAAAAAGACATCCAGTAATTAGATGCAGATATGCCCATGTATTTCGAAATCGAATGCAAACACGTGTTATCAAAAGCAAAAGGCGCAAAAAAGCTAAGGTCCTTAGAGAATTAAGCGCAAATAAATCGTAAATCGCGGGTTGTAATGAAACGAGATGCAAAGAGAGAGAGAAATACAATTATATATATTTAGTCCAAGACTAATAATTATAAGCATGAATCCAAACATATGAACGAAGAAAATATATATCAATTGTTTAGCGTCGTAGCTCATTGGCAAGGAAAAGTATGCCTCACAAGTAACACTAATTAGCTGATCACAACAGAATTCAAAAGCTAATTTCTCAAAGCATTGAAATAAGACATCAAATACAATATTAGTAAAGGGTAAAGAGAGCTTTATTTCAGTCATGTTACTCCTTGACATAGAGAGGCAATTTTCAGTCACACACAAAAATCTGGAAATCATGTTCCATGTTATCTATCATGTAAAATTACCGAAGCATTCACCTCAGCGCACATCTACAACCTAATCGCGCATTAGTATAATGGTGAGGCAGAAAAAACATAGCAGAACGGAACATAAACCTCTTTAGTTATAGCGGGACTTGGTAAAGCTATCAAAGCTAGATGATCGAGGAACTCATGAGAAAGACTTAAGACTTTGATGAAGCATTTTGATGTGCGGATCCAAGTTTTTGGATCCAATGAAGGAACCCCTTCTTGTGATGAAACATTGAATTTTGTACTAGATTCAGAGTCCCATCATGCGCAACTGAAGATTCAAACTGCTCCAGTACCTTCACGATCTGCCAAAACTCAGGCCTCTTTTCTGGTTGCAAAGACCAACACTGTTCGATCAACGTTCTCATGGCAAGAGGGCAGTCCCCAGGAATAGGTGGTCTCATATTCTGAAAGGTTCCAGAGACATTCTTTCAGATGCATCAGCGGTCACAAATTATTTGGAAAAAAGATAACAGATGAACCAATGATAATTTTGTGCACCATGACAACTAAACATAAAGTTCATGATACGTTAACTTCAATACCTAGACTAGATGAATAAGAAAAAAAAATTCAATACCTTGTTCACAACAGCAAAAGCAGCCTGTACTGGTGTCATGTCTTCATAAGGAACGGTTCCAGCCACCATTTCCCATAAAATGAGTCCAAAACTATACACATCCACCTTCCGTCCATATGATTTTCGTTTAATCATCTCAGGTGCCATCCATCGGTAAGTACCGGGATCATCAGCCAAAAGATCACAATATGCTTCCTCACAAGCAATTCCAAAATCTGCAATTTTAAGGTGGAAGTTCTCATCGATAAGTATATTTTCCGGTTTGAGATCCCTATGAATAATGCCTTGTGAGTGAATATATTGCATCCCATGAGCAATATCCAAGGCCAATGCAATCAGTTTTTGCAAGTTTATGGACTTGTCCTCAAGCTTGTGAAGGTATGCTCTCAAAGAACCCTCAGATAGATACTCAGTTACAACACAAAAAACTGGTGTCTTTCTGCATGCTCCTACAAACTGCATTGAGAGGTCATCATAAACTAGATCAGAGATGATTTTGAAAACAAAAATAAGATGCCAAAGTTGTGTTTTACCAATTTAAAACATAAAAAATGCGAGATGCCAAGATAATAAAAGAAAAGGAAAACAAACTGAGGAAAAACAAAAACCAAATGAGGCCATGGAAGAACTTCCATTTCAAAATTCTTAGCAAGACCATCAAATACAGTAAGGAATGTATATGCAGAACGCAATATGCTAAAACTGAATGCATCAAACAAAAAAATTGATCATCAT